AAAGTACCTTCTCCTAACCCAGTTTATTGTTCATCGACTACTATGAGTATGCCATTCATGGGTTTATCTCCCCCAAAAGTGTAAACATTGAGCCTCCCAGGCACCATCTAAACATTGAGAGCGGTCTGCCTAGGTCTGTCAGTCTCTTTCCAGCTCAACCTATAGAGTGCAACAGTTACCGCCCCCTTTTTAAGCTGCGTTTACAAATGTTGATAATATATATATATATATATATATATATATATTAGGGGTGTAACAATACACGTATTCGTATTGAACACGCATTTTTGAACCGAACGGTTCGTTGGACCATTTTTCCTGCCGACCAAAATTTCGTTATTTCAAATGTAGACGCGTCACGCGTGGCAAGCGCGCCCATAATGTAAGAGACGCTGGCGTGACCACCACAACATTGCCCAACATCAAATGGCAAATGTAATGTAAGCGGAACGAAACCACTCGTTATTGTGTGGTTGAAGGACCATTTATCAGTTTGGACCAATGCAGCGCGAGCCAATCTTAATCATCAGCACTGTTACTACACAGCAAAAATCCAGTAAAGAAAGCATTTGAATTCGCCACTGAAGTAATAACATCGCTGCGAGATCTAGTGAGAAACATTCGCATTTCTCCGTTATTAACGGATCAAACAGCGCTGACGTGGAAACCAGGAAGAAACATTGTGCCATGAATGAACTATCCAGTGTCCACAGATCAGCAACATTCACCATGAATTTACTGTAGTAACACTACTAACTGTAACCATGGAAGTTTGGCAGGAATAGTAGGCTATGCTTTCAACTAACATCACGTCGGTTTTATTTTGACATTACGAATACAATTGCTGCCCTCAAATGTTAATCTGAACTAAAATAAACCTTTGTTTATAACTACTACAATATTACATTTCATTTTGTCCAAGGAGCTGTTTTGTTTTATAAGCTCCTAAGAAAAGTCAAGTATAGCTCCATTATTGCTCAAAGTTAAAAAATATCATACTTTATGATGTTAGTTTTAATAAAAATATAATTAAAAAAATTAAATCAAGAAAATTTCTCTGGCATTTCTTTCTTTTTGCTGTAGCCTATCGGAAACGTACCGAATCGTACCGAACCGAACCGTGAATTTTGTGAATTTTCGTACTGCAATGTTCAGCTGATCTTCAGTGCGGGCCTGCTCGTGTCGTTTCTTCGCCTCCTTCCGCTCATCAATGATGGCCCATGTCCGGTACTGAATCCACTGCTCCTTATGCCTCCCACGCCTTCGGCCGACGCTTGCCTGCGCAGCCTCTATGACCATTGAAATAAAAATAAATCATCTTGCTGTTACTTCCAAAAGCATCATGGCCATTCAAACGACTGTTTATTTTGGATTTTTCTTTGGCACAATAAACTTCCAAATAAACTTTTCTATCTTTGAAAATTAAGTTGCGTGCATGATTGTTTGTTTGCAAAATATATAATTTGCAAAATATGGTGGCTGCAATGTTGTTATCCTTTCAGTCCAATCTCTACAATAATTTGCTTTATATCAAAAGATCTATTTTAAAATGTACTTTATTCCTGTGATGGCAATTTTTTTTGGCCAAAATATTTTTCAGCATCATTACTACTGTCTCCAGTGTCACATTTAATCATTCTAATACGGATTTGCTGCTCAATAAACATTTCTGATAATTAACGTGTTTTTTTTTAAATTCCCTTTGGTACTATTTTCACAAGTACATTCTTAAAACGCTTAGTACTAATATCACAACAGATCATCAAAAGTGCACTTTTTTCAAACATTTCATCATGTTTTCAATTGTGTCAGTACAATACACAAAATCACAAGGTATCCTTTTCACAACACAAAACAAGTGTTTCATACATAAATGTTTCATTCACAGTCTGCCTTTCATAAAGCTCTTACTATAAAACTTTTGATTTGCATCTCTTCTTGTTCAGTTTAATACAATTGTATATTATTTAATCCAACTGATCTTAATGGTTAATCAATGAGAGAGAGAGAGAGAAAGAGAGCTTTGATTTTTCAAAAAACATTTATTACAGAAATATTTAAAAATATAAAAGCATTAAAATATAAATCACATCATATTTATAGAAATTGTGAAAAGTAAATTTCATTTTCCATTACAGAACACAACGCCCCTCTATGACACCATATATTTTCAAACGCTTCTAGACAGTTAGTAGCTTTATAAAAATCAAAATCAATTAGCAGTCTAGATTTAATCATAGCTGCAAACATCATTACAACATTATAATCACCTTTTTGGTCATTTTTTTTTTCTTTCTGCTAACATATATTGCCATTTTTGCCTTGCCTACAATCCAAATTATCAATTGGCATTCATATGGTCTTCTTCGGGTATATTTAAAACCAAAAATAAAAACTGGTACAGTAAATTTTTCATCAGAATAAATGATGAAAACATCCTTCAACAAGTCAAATAAAGGCTTAAAGGTGCTCTAAGCGATGTCACGTGTTTTTTAGGCCAAAAAATTTTTTGTCACATACAGCAAACATCTCCTCACTATCCGCTGGCTGCCTGTCCCCTGAACACACTGTAAAGAAACGCGATCTCTCTAGGCAGCCCAGGCTCCACAAACAGCAACAAAAACCAACTGCGGCGACCCGCTCCCCGAAACATGACAAACAGTTCCAGCCAATCACTGACAAGAAGGACTTGGGGGCGAGGTTTGGGGGGTTAGTGCGCGGATGAGGAGGAGGGAGGGTCTAGCTAGCCCGACACCCGACATCGCTTAGAGAACCTTTAAGTCTTGACCAGTACATAAACACATGAAAAACAGTTCTCTTACGAGAGGTTCTCTCGTACTGCGTAATATCTTACGCTAGGGGAAAACCTCTTTTCCTCGAGATATTGAAGCCAAAAAATTATCCTTAATTTTGAATTATTGCAAAACACGTTGTCTCAGCGTGCCTATTGGCTGTCCTGCGGCAACTGCAGCAGCCTATCGAGAGCGGCCCTTTGGTGACGGTCCAATGGGGGCGCTTCGCGCCCATTGTGTCACGCTCGCGCCCAAAGGGGCGTGGTCTAGCCCTATAAAGATAGCTTGATGGGCTAATCTCACTGATTTTTCATCTCTTCAGCGAAGCGTTCGCACTGCTGGATCCAGAGTGAGAAGCCGCGCCGTCGAAACGGTTTTCTGCGGGACGAGACTCTGCAACTGAAGTCGCTGGCCTTCACCTCGCCGCCTTCAGCCGCCGTTCCTGCTACGCTATCCGGTGTACTATATATCCTTCACTCTGCTCTGTGTGTGTGTGTGTGTGTGTGTGTTTGTGTGCGTGTGCGTGTGTGTGTGTGTGTGTGTGTGTTCGCCCCGCGACTCACACGTCTATCATCTAAAAGAGCCGCGTCTTTTTAAAGATGCCATCCACTTGTGGCTCGTGCCGAGCCCCACTCAGCGACGGGGGTTGCCATGTGAAGCGTTTTCCTGCCTGGGAGAGGATCATGCAGCTCTCACGCTCGCCGACGGCGGCTGCCCTCACTGCGAGCTATTGCCTATGGTGACTCTGAGGACTCGCCTGGCATACTTCAGCGAGACTGGACTTCCACCCGCTGCAGTGCCGCGCCGTAAAAGCGCCGTACTCAGCGGGTCCCCGAGCCTTCTCCAGCCCGTGAAAGCTCGCCGGTTCGCCCGCCAGCTTCACTCGAGTCGCTCACTGACGGATAACGGCCGCCGCACGCCGCCACTTCCGCCATTAATGACGACGAGATAGCTGCATCTGTAGAGAAGGCCAGCTGCTCTATCCTAGCGTCGGACAGTGAGGATTGGGCGAGCTCTGTTGACCTCCCCCCTTCTGTCCGCGAGTCGTCAGGGAAACGGGCCAGCATCAAGACCGTGGCTAGCTTTCTTTACCCACAACCCAGTGCCCACAAACACTCCACACTGCATGTACCACGGTTTCTGTAAAACGAAACCAACACAAGTCTTCCTAGCCTCCTAGGAAAATGACGGTGTTTCAGTCTCGCTGCGGCCAGACTTCCACCGAAACTTTTCGCTCGTTCAGTTCCAGAAAATGCGACTGTTCCAGTGTATTTTGCAGTAAGCAAGCTGGTACCACGGCCCGCTTGCCTGCACACAAATGCCATTTCCACGGTGACCCAGATAAATCATATAAGCAGTGTATTTTCTGGTATTCCGGCCACAGCCGATGGTGTTATGAGTGTAATAAAAATGCCCACAACCCAGTGCCCATTTCTACACACAAACAGAAGCACGGCGCGCGTTGAATCCTCAGTAAAAACAGAAGTAGCACATCTACTTCGGGCCGAAATAGCGACATTATTGAGCAAAGGGGCAATAGAGCCTTTATCTCAAGCTCAGAGCGAAGGAGGCCTGTACAGCAGATATTTTCTGGTACCGAAAAAAGACGGGGGTCTCAGACCCATTCTAGATCTAAGACAGCTGAACAACGCGCTTATGAAACGCCAGTTCAAAATGCTCACAACCAAGAAAATCCTCGCACAGACTTGCCAAGGGGACTGGTTTATGTCAATAGATCTGATAGACGCTTATTTCCAGATACAAATAGCGTCACGTCACAGGCGATTTTTGAGATTCGCCTTCGAGGGCCAGGCATATCAATACACAGTCCTAACGTTCGGCCTGTCTCTTGCACCCCGTGCATTCACGAGGTGCATGGACGCGGCGCTCGCACCCCTGAAACTTCAGGGCATGAGAATTTTGAACTACTTGGACGATTGGCTGATTCTAGCTCGATCTCATTCAGAGCTCATAGAACACAAGACCGTGTTACTCGAACACCTCGAGAAACTGGGTCTAACAGTCAATTGGGCGAAAAGCTCGCTGGCCCCCAGTCAGAAAATAACTTTCCTGGGCACAGAGCTGAACTCGCTGTCTATGACAGCGCGGGTGTCGCCAGAACGCAGAATAGACATTCAGCGCTCTACGAAATCCTTCCGCCGAGGCACTATAGTCCCGCTCAGGAGGTTTCAGAGAATGCTGGGCTTGATGGCCTCAGCATCCTTGGTACTTCAGCTAGACCTGCTTCGCATGCGCCCGCTGGATTTTTGGCTCAAAGCACGAGTACCTCCTCGAGCTTGGGTTTCCGGTCTACTTCGCCTCAAGGTCAATCAGGAATGTATCACAGCCCTGAATCCTTGGAGAGCGACCGACTGGTACCAGTCTGGTGTAAACCTGGGGACTTCCTCGAGTGTACAGGTGGTGTCCACGGACGCCTTCACCCCGGAATGGGGAGCGCTGCACGAGGGCAGACCGTTCTTCGGCCTATGGTCAGAACGAAAAAAGCTTCTTCACATAAACTGTTTGGAAATGTTGGCAGTCGACAACGCGCTGAGGCGCTTCTGTCCCCAAATAAAGGGCTGCCACGTCTTAGTCCGCTCGGACAACATGTCGGTGGTATCCTACATAAATCGCCAGGGCGGCGTCAGGTCTCGAAACCTTTTCAGACTGACAGAACGCATTCTGGTCTGGGCTCAGCACAATCTGCGCTCACTGAGAGCAGCACATGTGCCTAGCCTCCTGAATTTGGGGCCAGACAGACTGTCCAGAAACAATATACCAGCTGGGGAATGGTCTCTGCACCCCCAGACTATCCTCCTGCTGTGGGAGATGTTCGGCAGAGCACAGGTGGACCTATTCGCGTCCCAGGAGAACGCTCACTGCCGAAATTCTTCTCAAAGAGCAAGGACGCACTGGCCCACATCTGGCCCAGCTGCCCGCTCTATGCTTTTCCCCCGGCATCGCTCCTGCCTCAGGTGTTGGAACGAATCAGGGAAACCAGATGTTCTGTGCTCCTCGTGGCTCCGCTCTGGACGAACCAGGCATGATTCCCAGTCCTGATGCAGCTGACGAGCACTGCCCCATGGCCGATTCCGACGAGGAAAGACCTCCTCTCTCAGGCCGGGGGCTCAATTTGGCATCCTCACCCGGAACGGTGGGCCCTGCACGCATGGGCCATCAACGGGTACCCGCAAACCTCCCCGAGGGAGTGCTAAACACCATCATGCAGGCCAGAGCACCGTCTACCAGACGCCTCTATGGCTCCAAGTGGTCAGTGTTTGTTAACTGGTGCAAAACCAGTGAGATCAGCCCATCGAGCTATCTTTATAGGGCTAGACCACGCATATGAGAAGAGAAGGCATATGTGGTTCTATATGGTTGCAATTAATAATTTGTTCAACACAATTAAAATCTCCACCAAGAAATAAATATTCTTCGCTTTTGCATTTGTCTAGAGTTGAGCATAAAATATCTAAAAAATCCACTCTCTCTATTGGTAACGTGGGGGCATATACACAAATAAAAACCAGAACATATTTTTCAACAAGGGCTTGAATTTTCAAAAGTCCCCCCTTCACTATTTCCTCCATTTTAAAAGAGCATGAGATAAAGTTATTTGCAAACAAGATGGCAACTCCTCCACTACGTAAAGTTTTATGACTTAGAAATATATGACCATTCCATTCTTTTATCCAATCTGTAGCATTTGTATCATCACTGTGTGTTTCTTGTAAAAAAAGAACATCAAGTTGTTTCTGTTTCATTGTTTCATACACTTGCATTCTCTTTACATAATCTCTAGCTCCGTTCACATTTAAAGATGCTATACGGATATCTGCCATGTGCAAATAAAAAAAATAAAAAAATGAAGCCATACAGAAACACACAGCCGCTCAAGATAAAAGAGTTATGCCACTATGTCAGCTGATTTTGTTTGTTTTTTTACACATTTTTTCAGTCGATATACTTCTTTTTCCAGAAAACAACCTTCACTCATTAGATTCTAAGTGCTTTCCGCAAACTGTTTCAGGTAAAAACCGTTTCAGGAAAAAATCAGCAATCTGTACTCCTCTCTGATTTTTTGTCACTTTTAAAAACTTCTTAATTTCTTCAGCACTGTAATCATTACATTTCCATTCACTTTGTGAGCAACTTGAAGCACTAGAATCAGACAATTCACTTTCACTTTCAATATTATCTGTATCATTTTTCTGCTCTTTTCTTGCGTGTTTCGATTCTTCTTCTCTGTCTTTCTTTTTCCTTTTTAAAGGAGTTTTGAAGACAGCTTGATCATTGTTTACTTCACACAAATTTACATTGTCTGATAAAGACTCTATATCAGATAAACAATTCGTTGAACTATTTTGTGTGTCCATCAATTCTTCTATCACATTAGCTTCTTTAAGCAAACTCACATTCGACGTTGTTTGATCTTTGTCAGTCAAAACATTATCTCCCATGACTTCAATCATGGTTTGAACAGTTTCAACTGTTTGTTTACAAGGCACTTTGTTAGTTGTGCCCTTGACACTCTGTGCTGAATTCACAGGTACTGGCACAGACATTCCAGCAGCGCTTTCCACGTCTTGCACCACCGTCTCATGTATCGTATCTTGCCTTGTACGTGTTCCCCCGATTTCGGGACAAGCATGAGCCAAATGCCCGGTTTTTCACATCCGAAACACTTCTTTATATAAGTGGATACATAGACAGTGTAGTCGAAATCATCAAATCTGAATTTCAGATTTAAATTCAGTTCTGTTCTGTTCTCACTCAAAATCATGTAAGTGAATCTCCTAAAAGACACCACGTTTGATCAATTCAGATTTACTCCCGATCGCGACCTTTTTCACTGGAGCAACCAACTTTCCGAAACGCGATAATTCCTTAACCAAAGCTTCATCTTTGATAAAAGGTGGGATGTTTGACAGAATAACTTTTCTCGCAGGTTTTGAAAGAGAAAGCACAAGTGTAAAAAGGCCACGAATTACAACTCAATTTCCACAACATTATTGGCATTTTCTACAGTGTTCAAAAAACAAATAACTGCATTGCTCATCCTTGACGCTGCTAGAATGCTCTTATGTCCAACAACCTGTCCGATAGCCAAGATACAATCTTCCACACTTGCAGCGGCCACCACTTTAACCCCGTGGTACCGCGTTAATGAACCGAGCGAGTCAACACCTTGGGCCGTCATGCCCTCGGTGATGCACTGGCAACCAACGGTCAAAAAAACACTAGTTTGTTTTATCTACTTAAAGCAGATTAAACACCAGAAATAGCGATATTCAACCAAGAAAAAATTGCCACAGCGGGCATAAAACTCACTCGAACTCACCACACGCTACCCACACTCACTCGCCAAACGAGAGAGAGAGAGAGAGAGAGAGAGAGAGAGAGAGAGAGAGAGAGAGAGAGAGAGAGAGAGAGAGAGAGAGAGAGAGAGAGAGAGAGAGAGAGAGAGAGAGAGAGAGAGATTTGCCATTTGTGAACATAAAGCTGAATAGAGTATAAGGGAGAGGAAACAGTCAATGACTGTAAAACATCAGATTGATCAGAGATGTTTCAGTAGAAGGGTGACAGATGGCATCAAATACAGCATTTTACATTACAGTATGTATGCCATGTGATACTGTAAACAGATTACCACGGTAGAGACTGCCACATTACTGTAACTCACCCTTCATCTGTAAAGGTCAACTGCATTAAACACTCTAAAAACTGCTGGGTAAAAACTGCAAATATGGGCAAACCCAGCCGCTGGATTACATTTTTAAATAACATTTTTAACCCAACGTTTGGGTTTGTCCATATTTGACCCAAAATTGGGTTAAAACAACCCAGCATTTTTTAGAGTGTAGATTCAGTCATATGGCAGCGTGAAATCTGCCAGTAAACTCTGTTCTAGCACAGAACCACATGGCTGTGTCATACTTCATCACACCTTTTGATAACAGACTAGATAGATACTATTACAAACATTATGGATTCAATTACATAAGTTAGGTAATGCAAGTGTATTTTTTAATGTGGCAACTGTACCCTGTATTACTGTAATTATTTCAGCAAAAAGAGTGATTTGAAACATGTATCTTGAATTGTTTGCTGTTGAATGAACTGATTGTTAAAAGTACTAAATTGAAAGAAGATCATACTGTTGTTTCTGTGATTAAACCAAATGTTCTCATTACATATAGCAATAATCTTGTGTTTGAAACAATGGTTATGTGGACTGAAATGTGTATAACTGTAATAAAAGCATGGGATTAGGTTTTGAAAAAATGACTAGCTGTGTTACAGTGTGATCAGTTTGGATTTTTGTACAAAGAGTTTTGAAAATGTACACCTTGTGAAAATAGTACCACAGCGAATAAAAACAACTGTTATATTTTTCTGTGTGAACCATATTTCAGGATTCTTTGAGGAATATAACGTTCAAAAGAACAGCGTTTATTTAAAATATACATCTTTTGTAATCATATAAATGCATTTTCTGTCACTTTTGATCAATTTAATGCATCCCTGCTGTCTGAATAGCAATTTAGTGTGTGTGTGTGTGTGTGTGTGCGTGTGTGTGTGTGCGTGTGTGTGTGTACTTTATGTAATAATAATTTTAACTTCCAAACTATACTCCCAGTATCGCCATGTTCAGTTAAACAACTAAAGACAGTGGCATATTCAAGAGTCAAGTAATTAATGAAGGCAGATTTGAAAAGAAGAGTGGCCTGCTATTGGGACTAGTTGTCACAAAAGGGTAATATGTTTGTATTGACTTTACTGGGCAATAGCAGTGAAAATGTCCAAAAGACTTTTTGTAGTCAGGACTTTATATCGGTACATCTACACAAAAGGGAACAATACACTGCAGCAAAAAAAATGGACAAATTGCTGTGTGCATGCTGCTCTTTGCCAATCAACTTTTTTTTCTTTAAGCTGCACATATTTAGAAAGTGCAGTAGTATGTTTTTGAGAAATAAGTCATACCCTTTTTGTCTTTCAAAATGAGTGTTCTTTGAACTACAAGAGACTTTTGATTTAGTACTCAGAATGGAGGACAGTAATTAGTTCATCGTTATCACTAGCAGTTTAATGTTTCTCTCTATGTTTAGACTGGAGTTAACAGCAACAAATTATATTATATTTGTCCCTACATTCCCTGAGCGAACAAGATAAAGTACAACCTTGTTGCATTTCGCACAAAGTCGACTTTGCCATCCTTATATAGGAACAGTGCTCTACATAAAAAAAAAATCTATTAAGTGGGAGTCCGAAATATCTGCTCCTTTGCTACCCCGTCTTTACTTGCTTAGAGAACTGTCTCATCATCAACTCCAAGAATGAATATTACTGTCATTTGATTTGAGCAGCTCCATCTGAGGCCGTCCAGCCAATCACCCGTGTCCAATTAAACGATATGTCTCGGGAAAGTTAGGGAACTTCTCAACTCCTTTCTTCTTAGACGCTCTAAGCCAGTCAGCCTCTCTGAGCCTGCAGTCACGCTCTGTGGACACCTGATTAATGCTCTCCACACCATGTCCGAGCAGCAGGGGAAGCTCATCGGACTCCACCTCCAAACACGGCCCCAGGAAGGACACAGGAGCTTAAGGGAGCAGAGCTTTGTTGCGACGGACAGAAACAGAGTGATTGCATTTACTTTTATCATCACACCTTATATATCTGCATGCAGACCACTACAGCAAAATGCCATAAGACCCCCCTTACAAGTGGTGTTCATTTATGCAGCATCCCTGATGTCCAAATGAAATTGAGGCTATTGATTTTTACTAGCTCGAATTCCCATTTCACAAAAGTTTTCATTCACTTAGACTGTAGGAGAGTGTTTGTAATACATATATTCCACCCACACTGGGGACATTGAGATCCAGAGTAAGACAAGAGGATGGTTTTAAATTAAGTCCACAAATACAGCGAGCTGATAAAACCTTTTAGTTTTATTTAGAAATTACTCAAAATTAATTTGCTCATTACTTTTGCTGCTTTAGCTATTTTTCAGTCCTCCAAATTTTCCAGTCTTCCTATCAGATTTTCCATAAAATAATTTTTATTTATTATATTTTGTCATTTATAATATTTGTATTAATTCAAAATAGTATTTAAAAAAAAAACATTAAAAAACATATTTTAGATTATTTTAAGTGGTTATATGTAAGAATGTTCATGTATTGATATAGCTTTTTTTTCATTGCCAATGTGAACAGCTTGTAATGAAACGAGACCTTCCCCGACATCCTGAAAGCCTGTTTTACTTCTAAGTGAAGACAACGAAAAAACAAAATTGTTGTGATTATATCATCGAGGGATTGAATCACGTTTAGTCTCTTGTACATTATGCGAGCACAAGCAATAAGTTGATGTCTGCAGTTCACTTAACGGCCACTGGTGTCACTAATAACAAGGGTTTCCAAATTCGACATATTATGCATTATACATATCTATAATCCTTTAATCAATTTGATTTTATAATACTGTTCTTTAATTAATTAACTCTTTCCCCGCTATGATACATTTTTTTCCGCCATTTATGACTCAATGCTTACCTGCCATTGACATGTTTTTTCCAGCAGTCAATTTTCATTGTTATATGGTGGGTGCTGTTATCCATCTTCTGAAATAGTACAGCATCTCCAGATACAAAAACAAACAAAGAAGAAGATTTGCATGAAACAGAATGAGTAGATAGGATTACCCTGCTGAAAAATCCAGCATAAACCAGCATGGATTTCAGGTTGCTCCAGGCTGGTTTATGATGGCTAGAGCTAGTATAGTGCTGGCCTAGCTGGTCCACCAATACTCCTGCTTCCCATGACCAGCAAACCAGCAACCAGCATCCCATGCTAGTCCCAGCATGCAAATCCTCCCTTATGCTGGTGACCAGCAATGCTAGATTTATCAGCAGGGTAAGCTAGCGGGATCATCAAATGTTCAACAGCATATAAATAAAAAACTGCCTAATGTTACCAAATGAAATGTTGAACCCACAAAGAGGTATACAACTGTGCAAGCTTTGGGGCTGTTTATGGACTTGATCTATGTTTTGATCATCATTCTGAATCCGACTGTTTTTATATTCATACAACAGAATATTCTGGGGGCCATGCAAGTTTTGTGAATATGATAAAAAATGCTGGTGGGGAGAGAGTTAATTAATGTTTAGCCTATTCATATACTGTACACAAAGAACTACTCTTTTTCAATTGTAACCTCAAATGCATTCATATAAGATTGTGTCCTCTCTTTGAAGTTGCTTGTATGTATTTTTGTATTTTTGTTTCATTGCATTGCAGTAGGTGAAGTGAAGCCTGTAACCCTTCTGATTGGGGTGTTAATGTAATTCATATATTCATACATCTGTGTGCATGATTTATTCACCCAGAATAACATTCATCCCTAATTTTGTCATAGTGCTCATCCAATAATTGCCATAACTATTGTTTTTAAATGTCATCTGTCTTGATTTAATGTCTTGTTTAACAAGAACAACACACACACACACAAACACACATGCACATTCTCATTCACTTTACCTGAGTTGTGTATATGAGACACACACACACATCCTTAATCCATTTAATTGGCAGCAGTGGTTAGTGTTAGTTAATTGATATGACTCATATGTCCTCATGGACTTGTACTCCTCAATACCATTTTAATGACCTTTGAAAGTTTTGCTAGAAACAACTCATTAATTTTCATAGATGGAGATCAGGAAGTGTTAATGCAGTCATGTGTCACTGCATGATTTAAAAAATGCAGTGCTGGTTCTGTTTATTCAACGATTCATTTAGACAAGTAGAATGTGTTGTCTTGAAAACATCCAAAGGCATATAACTGCAATCACTTTGGACTGCTCCTGCTCCAGGCTTTTAAGAAGTTATTTACTTAATAACCTGCCTAATGGCCGTGTTGTTATTGTGTTACCTGTGTTTCTATTCTTAAGGCCAATTCACACTGCACCAACATACGGCGATAAATACTTTGTCGGTTCAGTGTGTTACTCCTGACGTTGTTGGTCGGTTTTTTCCACAGATTTAATATGTTGAATCTGTGTTTATTGGAACTTGAAATATCTGAAGTGGTGTACTGTAATCTGGCGACTGACGCCATTGGTCGGTGTCTGTCAGGGCCTTGTGAATTGGCCTTTAAGGGGGCATGACATGAGACATCTAATTTTACATGATCTTTTGACATATGGACTTTGTACCATTAAAACATCCTGCAAGTTTCATAGCTTAAAATGTCCTCATTATAAACGAAGAATTGATTTAATCAATCTCCAAAAACAGCTCATTTTGATATTGCAGGATCTGTGACATCACACCGGCAAATACATTTACATAGTTATGCATCATCGCCCCATAGGCCTCACCCACTGGCATTCAGTCACTTAACAGCTGACATTTGCCTACAATGTAAGTATCACGTCAAATGCAAACAGAACCCAATATAATCACTGATGCTGTCTACGCTGGATATAGTATGCAATTACGTTTTCAGTTTCTAACACTCCAAGCATTTGAGACTGTTGACAATAGAATAAATGGAAGAGAGAAAGTTTCGCTTTGACGCGTCCAGTTTAATCAGCTTTGTACAGACTTCAGAAGGATCTCAGCATCGGAAACAAGTGGATGATATACTCTCCCGTATCACATCAGAGGATTATATGTTTGTTGAGAGCATTTTGTTTAGTATACAAGGCACAGTATAATAGAGTTTGCAAATAAACTTTTGACAGAAGAAGCACCCAACTATATTGGATCTGACAGCAGCTGCATCACAAATGACTAAATGAAAGTAAGATTAAATAAAAATAAAATGTTTTCAAAACACTTACTCTTGAGTCACACGCAATAGCAAGTGAATTGTTTCGGTTTCCAATGCAATGATGTTAACAAATTATAACTGGCCATTTACTGACAAGCCTAAAAGGAACCACCCCCTCAAAAACACAACATTCAAAGAGTCAGAATGAAGGTTGAAAATTATCAGTTTCACACTTTGTGTGTGCAAAAAAGACTTAGTTGACCTGTGAACTTGAAGTGAACTATTAAAATAATAAACCATGTCAAGTCCCCTTTAAAGCCAAACTGAAAACCATTTGTCCCACTTTGATGACTCATTAACAAATTATTGGGGGCAAATCTGCTAATTGAGATAAAAAAAAAATATCACTCACTTAGTATACAAGCTGATGTTATATTCCAAATATCTAAAGTTTATATCTTGGGATTCATTGACCTCCACTGAATGAAGACCCAACAAAACACAGCAGGCATGTGTTGTTGGGTCTTCATTCAGTAGGGGTCAACTGTGGAGGACTGTATTGACACAGCAAAACGACTTGAATAAAATGAAAACATGAATCACAGACTGCTTATGGATCATCATATTTTAATGTGCTTTTTTTGAGATTGACAGTTAGTCACAAACCTCCTCTGTTAATATTGGCCAAACTATTCATTCAAAATGCTTCTGCAAAAGGTAGTTGGACTCCTTAATCATTCACTAATCTAGAAAGAATTGCAATATCTGTCAGTGGATGTGTGGCCCAAAACCGGACCACTCATAGTCAGCATCATCCTGGCTGAAGACTTCATTCACAGAACCGGACCCCTGACCTTCATCCTGGCTGAAGGTGGCATTCACAGAACCAGACCCCCCAACATCATCCTGGCTGAAGGTGGCGTTCACAGAACCAGAGCCCTGAGCATCATCCTGGCTGAAGGTGGCGTTCACAGAACTAGAACCCAGAGCATCATCCTGGCTGAAGGTGGCGTTCATAGAACCAGACCCCTCAGCATCATCCTGGCTGAAGGTGGCGTTCATAGAACCAGACCCCTCAGCATCATCCTGGCTGAAGGTGGCGTTCACAGAACCAGACCCCTCAGCATCATCCTGGCTGAAGGTGGCGTTCACAGAACCAGACCCCTCAGCATCATCCTGGCTGAAGGTGGCGTTCACAGAACCAGACCCCTCAGCATCATCCTGGCTGAAGGTGGCGTTCCCAGAACCCTGAGCATCATCCTGGCTGAAGGTGGCGTTCACAGAACCGGACCCCTCAGCATCATCCTGGCTGAAGGTGGCGTTCACAGAACCAGACCCCTCAGCATCATCCTGGCTGAAGGTGGCGTTCACAGAACCGGACCCCTCAGCATCATCCTGGCTGAAGGTGGCGTTCACAGAACCGGACCCCTCAGCATCATCCTGGCTGAAGGTGGCGTTCACAGAACCAGACCCCTGACCATCATCCTGGCTGAAGGTGGCGTTCACAGAACCAGAACCCTGAGCATCATCCTGGCTGAAGGTGGCGTTCACAGAACCAGAACCCTGAGCATCATCCTGGCTGAAGGTGGCGTTCACAGAACCAGAACCCTGAGCATCATCCTGGCTGAAAGTATCCTGCAGATGGACAGAGTTAGAACTGGATGCACCAACTTGATTTTCTGCAGAGAGGAAGAGAAAGAAAGTTGTTGCTAATAACAAAAATAACCATGTAAGATTAATAAACACAAAAAAGGAGAAAGCCAAGGATCCATCTTCAACTGCAGAGCCAAAAACTGAGAAGCACATTGATATTTAAAAAAATAATAATAATAATACAGACAAGTATACTTACTACAAGCTAAACAAATAAACTCACCATGCCATACCATTTGAAGATAAAGAACCACCAAAACAGCAATTTTGCTCAAACCCATTCTATAACAGACACTGAGACACTCAGAAAACCAATGTAAGAATACAAGATAAAGTTTCAAAACAACCAGGTCTTTTAAAGCCAAACAGAAATCTGTACCACCTGGATGACTTGTTAACTCATTATTGGGGGGATCTGCTAATTTGATGAGATCAATGTTTAATTAATCAATCAGCATAAAAGTTGATGTTATATCCCATATAACTAAAGTTTTAATGTCCATCTCTTGTGATTGACCTCCACTGAATGAAGGCCCAACACACACTCTTATTAAGGCCTGGGTTTACTGACAGGATTAAGCCTCAGTTCAATTAGGAAATTTAAGTAGCTTTTATAAACTTGCCTTGAATTTTTTTTTTTTTAAATATGTCAGTGCCATTGTTGTGTCTCAAGATGCACACCAGTAATATGTCAGTGCAAATTGCTTTCAGTTGAAACTAAAACCTGCATTTTAGTCTGTGTCTAGGCTCAAGCTTTTTCTGTGAAACTGGGCAGTACAGTATTATTCCACATCAACTGGTGAAAAAGCACCAAATAAAAAAAAGGACAGAATAAGCAAAGTTGTCTCATTAAAAAAAAAAAAAAAAGTTTAGTACCAAATATGTATCTAAAATTAAATATTTTCTCATGCTATGTTTTCTCCAGAAACAATCAGTCATTTTTCCTATCATAGTCTTCAAAGAAATTAAATTGGGAAGAATCAATGTTCTCTGAACTTCACAGCTGAAGATTTGTTGGGCCAAACCTGACATCAAAAGGCAGGCCTCCTGTTATCCACATGACAATTAAGCCATTACAAACTAATCTAAGTGGCTGTAAAATCTTAACAAATCTAAAAGCAAGATGAATGAACAAAAAACAACCAAGCAACCCATTCCAATCGACATAAAATTTTACTTTGTTAGACAGAATCTTGAATCATGTTAAGTTAAATAGACAGGGGTCAAAACAGAACCGGACCCCTCAGCATCGTCATGGCTGAAGGTGGCGTTGATAGAAGGGGAATTTTTGGGATTCATTGACCCACTGAATAAATACCCAGCACCACACAGCAGGCCTGTGTGTTGTTGGGTCTTCATTCAGTGGAGGTCAACACTGTCCTACAAAGGCAAAATACCGTAACTCGCTAGAGTATGGAACTGAGAAAAACGACTTTAAAGATTTTTAGTTGTCCAGCCAAATTTATTATAGGTAGGACACTGGAAATCTGGCAATTAGATGTTTTAGTAATGAAAATTATCTACATAAAAAATCTTGAGCTCAAACTTGACTTTTGACCCCTATTTTGAAGTTATTCTATCTTTGTATTGTCTGCAAAAAGTGAGAAGACACAACAAGGCAAGAGGCAGTAACTTCGACATTATCAATATTTGGTTGATGATCACCATTTACACAATCATTGTAGACTTACAGATTATATACACTTCCTGAGATTCGTGTTCGAAGGTTTCGCGCTCCTCGTACGTTCGTGAAAAGTATGAACACTTTCCCTATTGAAACTCAGTGGGGACCGCATTCTGGACTACCTCAATGACTAATGCATTCATAGGACAACCTTCTATGTTCTGCATCTTTTCAGTATGTGGTGGTTTTAGCTCTCTGCCCGATGATTGTGCTTGTGAACTTAGCTCATACCAGATTTATGATGGACACTATTGTCTGTATAACCCGCGGTTTGATGTTGTATGCGCCAGTACACTTTGTTGCTTCATTATGTTGTATGCACATTATCACTCCTTGTGACATAGTCACCGGGTCGGTTCGACCGTGTTGAAGGCGCCGGCACAGTTTTGGCACTCTGCCAACTATGCATGTGTGTTTCAGGTCCGGTACCCGCCCTGGGTGAGGCGGGGCGCTAATTCTTTGTTGTAGTCACCTGCTACGGCATGAGTAACATTTTTCTGTCAACTCTGCATATAGGTCATCTTTCGCAATCGATATTGCACGTTTGTCGACAGAGCAGGTTCAGACCATACGAATGTTCGGACCATGTTTGTGCAGGACAAAGCTATCCCTCTGAGCACATTTCTGAGGTTACAGGGACTGATGGCAGCTGTACACAGGCTACACCGTAATTTAATTGCAGCAAATTTTAAATGGACAGTAAAACAAAGGCAGAACACCATACAATCTGATAGAACTAGAACACTGGCACAATAACTTCTTGAGTATTCATGCACAGCTAAACAAAAACCAGAGTACCGCAACTCAATTTGAGCATTCTAGAAAAGAAAAAAAGCCAAAGAGCAGTAACTGGTGTTAAGCCTTGTTTTCTCATTGGCTTTTGGAAGTTACTGTTAACCCAGCAAACTCATTTATGTTCTGGCACGTTGCATTTTTACTATGGCAACGTCGCTATCTATGTGCTCACAACAATGTAGAATTGTAAGACATGACAGGGCTGTAGCAATGTTGTTGCCCGACATTCAACAACTGTGAGACAATATTCGGACAATTTTTTTTAACGCTAGATATACCTCATTTGGAATGTTTTATGGTTAATTTTTAATTAGTCAGATAATTATATACATTTTAAATATTGTTTATCCTTATTTATTGGTCTAAATTAATTATAATCAACCTGCAAGTGTACACTTTGAAGAGCAAAAAGAACATAGGTTAGATAATTCAACTTTATTAACTGCATGGTAATCAAATTGCACTTACAAAAGTCATACATTTGTGAAAAAGAAAACACTAAATATAAGAATGTACAACTTTCTTATAAGTATAATAAATAAAACATAAAAGCAAAGGCAGATCAGAACATTTAATGATAAAAAAAACGGGTTCTGTACAGAACAGACAGGGGAGTGTAGTCGAAAGCCGGGTGATCAGTAACCAGAATCAGTCCAGGAAACATCAACAAATCCAGAGGAGAGATGCAAGCCCAGAAACCAGTAGACAGGCATGAGTCCGAAACCAGGTAGAAAATCCGGGACCAGAGAGGGTGGCACTGCAGGCACAGGTAAACTTGGCAGAGAACAAAGCAAATCAGAGCTTCACATGACAGGACACAGGGAGTGACTAACGTTAACTAGCATGAGAAAAACCTAACAAAGAAACAAATAAGAGGACAAGGAAAAAATAAATAAATGTTCAACAAGTACGCGCTTAAGTCGCTGTCTGTTCAAGGAATGCTGAAATGTCAGTTACTCTTCATTATGGCTTATAACTTTTGGCATAAAGTTAAAATATTTGTCATACCTGACCAGAAGATGTTCAAATATATGTTAATTACACATCTTATTTAGCAGAGGTAAATTAAACGGAATACTCACGTATCCTTGCTCGATGAAAAATGAGATGCCCAATGGTCAGTTGAAATTTAAAAGGCTGAGTCACGCTTCAGGGCAGTGAAGAGTACAAATGTCGTCCAGACATCCTAGCCACAACCGTAAGCAGTGGCCCTGAACAGTGGTTCAATGTCAACATTGTGAAATCGCTGTAACAACCTTACCACACAACGTAGTTATAGCAACCTTTTGATGTTGTTAGAAGGTTGGTACAACATTCTGTGTTTGCTGGGAAGACAACCCATTATTTTCTAAAAAAAAAAAAAAAAAAAAAAAAAAAAAAAAAAAAAAAAAAAAATCACATTGACTCAGGATATTTATGCACATAAGGAGGTCTTGAATGTGCCAAAAATAAACTAATTTTCGACCAAAAACTAAGTTACGGCCTTTTGCATGGCAGAACTGTGGAGGACTGTTTTGACAGTGAAACAACTAGAATCAATGAAAACATGAAATCATAGACTACTTATGGATCATCATTTAATGTGCTTTTTGTGATTGACAGTTAGTCACAAACCTCCTGTTGATATTGGCCAAACCATTCCTTCAAACTGCTTCTGCAAGGAAGGAGGACTCCTTAATCATTCTCTAGTCTAGGAAGAATTGCAAAAATCTGTCAGTGGATGTGTGGCCCAAAACCAGACCACTCATAGTCATCATCTTCCTGGCTGAAGGTGGTGTTCACAGAACCAGACCCCGGAGCATCATCCTGGCTGAAGGTGGTGTTCACAGAACCAGAACCCTGAGCATCATCCTGGCTGAAGGTGGTGTTCACAGAACCAGAACCCTGAGCATCATCCTGGCTGAAGGTGGTGTTCACAGAACCAGAACCCTGAGCATCATCCTGGCTGAAGGTGGCGTTGACAGAACCGGACCCCTCAGCATCATCCTGGCTGAAGGTGGCGTTCACAGAACCAGAACCCTCAGCATCATCCTGGCTGAAGGTGGCGTTCACAGAACCGGACCCCTCAGCATCATCCTGGCTGAAGGTGGCGTTCACAGAACCGGACCCCTCAGCATCATCCTGGCTGAAGGTGGTGTTCACAGAACCAGAAACCTGAGCATCATCCTGGCTGAAGGTGGTGTTCACAGAACCGGACCCCTCAGCATCATCCTGGCTGAAGGTGGCGTTCACAGAACCGGACAGCTCAGCATCATCCTGGCTGAAGGTGGCGTTCACAGAACCGGACCCCTCAGCATCATCCTGGCTGAAGGTGGTGTTCACAGAACCAGAACCCTGAGCATCATCCTGGCTGAAGGTCATGTTGACAGAACCGGACACCTCAGCATCATCCTGGCTGAAGGTGGTGTTCACAGAACCAGAACCCTGAGCATCATCCTGGCTGAAGGTGGCGTTCACAGAACCAGAGCCCTGAGCATCATCCTGGCTGAAGGTGGCGTTCACAGAACCAGACCCCTCAGCATCATCCTGGCTGAAGGTCACGTTGACAGAACCGGACCCCTCAGCATCATCCTGGCTGAAGGTGGCGTTGACAGAACCGGACCCCTCAGGATCATCCTGGCTGAAGGTGGCGTTGACAGAACCAGACCCCTCAGCATCATCCTGGCTGAAGGTGGTGTTCACAGAACCAGAGCCCTGAGCATCATCCTGGCTGAAGGTGGTGTTCACAGAACCAGAGCCCTGAGCATCATCCTGGCTGAAGGTGGTGTTCACAGAACCAGAGCCCTGAGCATCATCCTGGCTGAAGGTGGCGTTCACAGAACCAGAACCCTGAGCATCATCCTGGCTGAAGGTGGCGTTCACAGAACCGGACCCCTCAGCATCATCCCGGCTGAAGGTGGCGTTCACAAATTGATTGTCTGCAGAAATGGAGAAAGAAAGCATTTGCTAAAAACAAAATAACCATGTAGAGCATGTTAGATTAAGAAACACAAAAAAAGAGAAAACCAAGGACCCATCTTCAACTGCAGAGCCAAAAACTGAGAAGCACATTGATATTTAAAAAAATACAGACAAGAATACTTACTACAAGCTAAATAAACTCACCATGCCATACCAATTGAAGATAAAGAACCACCAAAACAGTAATCAAACCCATTCTATAACAGAAACTGAGACACTAAGAAAATCAATGTAAGAATACAAGATAAAGTTTCAAAACAACCAGGTCTTTTAAAGCCAAACAGAAATCTGTACCACCTGAATGACTCGTTAACTCATTATTGGGGCGGATCTGCTAATTAGTGAGATCAATGTTTAATTAATCAATCAGCGTGAAAGCATAAACAACAACAACAAAAAACGTATTAAATGTGTCAGTGCCATTGTTGTGTCTCAAGAGGCACACCAGTAATATTTCAGTGCAAGTTGCATTCAGTTGAAACTAAAACCTGCATTTTAGTCTGGGACTAGGCTCAAGCTTTGTCTGCGAAACTGGGCAGTACAGTATTATTCCACATCAACTGGTGAAAAAGCACCAAATAAAGAGGACAGAAAAAGCACAAAAAGTTGTCTCATTGAGAAAAAAAGAGTTTAGTACCAAATATGCGTCTAAAATTTTTATATTTTCTCATGCTATGATTTCTCCAGAAACAATCAGTCTAAAACTAGACTGAAGACACATCTGCCAGGCAAACAGCCAACTCCTACTGTAACTACATGTAACTCTATCAGTGTAGGGAGGCTCTGCATTTTTGGACTGTTTTTGACACACAGAGCAAAACAACTTAAATTAATGAATAAATCACACAGACCACTTATGGATCATCATCATTAAAAAGTGCTTTTTTGTGTTTGACAGTTAGTCACAAACCTCCCATCCACCTGTGTGTTTCATGAATGAAAACACAAGGCTTTAAAGCAGGGCTTGAATTTCGTTTTTTTTTGGGGGGGGGGGGGGGGTGGGGGGGGGGGGGGGGGAATCCCTTAGGTTATTCTTATGGGGGGGTATTTTTTTAATTTGATGGGGGAGTAGGGGGGTGGGTATTTTTCCCTCCAAAAAATTATTACATTTATCTCGCCTAAATTTTTGCCAAATAATATACAATAGAATAAAGATACAAATAAAGAGAAAAGTTTTTTAATAGGTATAACACTAGTATTCAGAAAAACACAGAAACTGAATAAAGTAATGAAATGGAAAATAACACTGGGTAGTATTTTAGTCCTGACTAAATTAAATAAATATGCTATTCTGATTCCTTAAACTTAAAGCTATCTTTTGTTGTTTTGACAACAAAATTAATGACAGACACATATGGCTGCCGTCACTTTAAGAGCTAGTGCATGGATCATGTGTTCATTATAATGTCACATGTGTTTTATGCTTATTAAATACATAACCGACTGTGTTTAAAGGATACTCACAAATAACGAAATTCACACTTTTCAATTCAAATTTTGCGTGTTAAAGCAATATAAGCCGTGAAAAAGAACTGTTGTTATTGGCGCGCTGTTTTTGAGGCTGCTTTTCTACATGCACACATCGGTACCATATCTCAGAGAGCACGCGAGCACCAAATAGGTTAAACTGGTAAGACTTGAAAAGACGTGCAAATTATGAACTTTGGTCACGATGCACTGCTGGCCCGATTGTGTAATATTCATGTCCCGACTCCAAAGCGCGAGAATGTAGACAGTATCGCGGTCTGCAGAGTGCTTGACGCTTGCCTTGTGCAAAACCCATTTTGAGAGACAGAGAGAGAGAAGACGCGGCAGCACCCCCGAACACTCACGCTGTTTGTGAAATTAAGTCTTGCAGATGGTTTTAAAAAGACTGATTTGATTTTATAATCTGTGTGGATTAATTTACTAATACAACCTATATGCTAAAATGATTTAAAGGTTGCGGGAATTCCCTGCATTATGAGTGGGAGACCTGTGGGAATGATTAGAATTGTGCGCAATACCCGTGCCGAAAGCCCTGCTTTAGAGTAATATAATAGGGAGTAAACTAGATTAATGTTGGTCAAACTATTCCTTCAAACTGCTTCTGTAAGACAGTAGGGCTCCTTAAAGGTGCACTATGTAAGAATTTTGCAGTAAAATATCCAAAAACCACAAGGCCAGTGTTATATATTTTGTTTAGTTGATTACTTACAATATCCCAAATGTTTCCAACTATTTGTAAATCGTGAAAAAAATTGCGATTTTAACCAAGGAACCGGGACGTTTGAAATTGCAATTTTAACCCAGGAACCGGGACGTTTGAGCAGGTGTGAGGGAGTCGCCAGTCAATGGCTTCATATCCGCGGTACCCTCGGTTTCCGTTTGTACTGCTATAGTAACCATTGCGACAGACGTGGACAACTGGGTTATGCCTAGCGGTACGCTCACACTGCTGTTTTTTTGTTCAAACATTTTGGACCATGGCAAGCAGACTTTGGGACAAAAAGAGGACTAAAACGAGGATCAATATCATTTTCGAGATGCCGAGAGCTTCGAGCTCGACTAACTTCGACTTGCGAGTGGCGTCTCTGTCAAGAGTGTTGCATGTACTTTATTAGACATGTGAGCAAATGTACATAAAACTAATCAATGTTATATAGTTCAACATGATGAAATGTTAGAATATGATCTGTATGTTATTCTAATGTTGATTTAGCTTACTGCTAGTCTCATACAGCCAACAATCTAACACATAGAATAACATTCAACACACTCAAATGCAGTTTAGTGTGATAGAGTAACTGCTAGACTAAGTGATACAGCGCTGCTTTACCTCACAAGTTGCATTTGTCTAATAAACTGACCTGTGTGAGTAGTAATAAAGCACTTGCGTGTAGTTCGGTAGAATTAATTGTTCTTCTTCCTTTATATCCGCGGGATTCGCGTGTGGCGCTGATATCTGTCTCTCATTAGCAATCGTGCACTGCCTCATACCACAGTCATGTTAAAAACATTAATGTATTCACTCATCCATAAACATTATTAGATACATCAGCTTGACAACAAGATCCATAATTCCGCTTAATGCTTTGCGTCATCAACCTACGGCTTTGTTATTGTAGGTTAGCGACCCCTAGCGGCATATTGTAAAAATTACATATTGTAGCTTTAATCATTTACTATGAATATCGCAATTTCTGCACAATATAATTGCAGAAACTTTTTCCTATCATAGTCTTCAAAGAAATTAAATTGTAAAGAATCAATCTTCACTGAACTTCACAGCTGAAGATTTGTTGGGCCAATCCTGACCTCAAAAGGCAGGCCTCCTGTTATCCACATGACAATAAAGCCATTACAAACTAATCTAAGTGGCTGTAAAATCTTAACAAATCTAAAAGCAAGATGCAGTTAACAAAAACCAACCAAGCAACCCATTCCAATAGACATACAATTTTACTTTGTTACACAGAATCTTGAATCATGTTAAGTTAAATAGACAGGGCCAAAACAGAACCGGACCCCTCAGCATCGTCATGGCTGAAGGTGGCGTTGACAGAAGGGAAAATCTTGGGATTCATTGACCTCCACTGAATAAACACCACACAGCAGCCCTGTGTGTTGTTGGGTCTTCTTTCAGTGGAGGTCAGCACTGCCCTACAAAGGCAAAATACCTTAACCTCCTGTGGTCGGCGGTCGCGCCGGCGATACCAGCTTGCTTTTTTTCTTATCAGTGCAAAAGAGACTCAAAGTACTCTGTTGATTTCGATCTTACATATAAGTGTTATACATCATTCGAGCCTGTTAAGTGTCTATTTTTTTGTGTATACTCACAATAAAAACAAAGTGTTGTGCATTTTGCCAAATAAAGAAAAATAAACATGATACACGTTCTGCCATCTCTCTCAATGTGAAGTCCATTCTGAAACGCGTCCGAAAATGAACTCTAACCCTGCGAATACTCAGTCACACAGGCATACAGGCACACAGGCATAAAACTTGAATTCTCTTCTTTTAAATGAAGTAATTTATATAAAAAAAACAAATATTCTCAGTTTATGTAATCTGTATTAAACGAGAGAGATGCCAGTCGTTCTCATTTCAGCTCATTGTAGCTCATTAAAGGGGAACTTGGCAACTATTTCAACCTATGCCTCGTTTCCACTGAGTGGTACGGCACGGTACAGTTCGGTTCGGTACGCAATTATTTGCGTTTCCACTGTCAAAAGTTGTGAATGGTACCAAAAAGCCGAACCGTACTGTACCACTTTTTGGGTACCCTTCCGTTGTGGTACCTAGCACAGTGGTACGGTACTAAAAGGTGGAGCTAGACTCACTGCAGAACGTTGATTGGTTGACAGAGTATCGTCACTTGCGCGTGCTACAAGGGCATTAGAAGCGCCATTTTTTAATATACAGTTGAAATAATACTACTGTTATTGTGTCACGAAATGTAGTTTTAAGAGTTTTTCAGGCGAGAAAGTAGTTTTTTAAAGCTCAAATCTGTGGTTTATTTATAGATTTATGATAATTTGAAGATCCATTCCAAGCAATCACCGGGTGCTCGGCGCTCAAGTACCCCGCCTGGAGCAGCCTTTCCCCGGCTAGTCGTTCTGATGTTTCCCGCTGACTCTGACGTCTCTGTAGTGGTTAAACATGAGATATAATTCGTCTTGTACAGACCTAACAGGCGATCTTTGGTCTCGTGAATCTATAATTCGTTCCCTGGCCAATAGTTTTGGCAGAAGGCTAAGTGAAGTTTCATATATTTGAGCGCTGAATTTGTATATTTGACTGAATTGTTTGCTTTATGTTATTAAAGCTTTACTGTATATCTTTTTGTACCTTTTACTTATACTTTTATAATGGCTATTATTGATAAAACTGAAATTCAACAAAAATAGATAGTTTTGTCATTTTTTTATTTTATTACAAGATCATCTGTAATGTTGTTTATTGCAACATTTGTA